TGTAAAATATATACTCATGATGAGATTGAGCAAGATATAACTAATTTTAAATATTTGCCTCGAGTGTATATATTCTTTGGAGATTTAAAGCAGCAGGCTGTGGATTATTAATTAATTCAATCAAACGACTGCCCTTTTAAGCCACCTTTCTTCCATGAGAGTCCTCAGGAAATAGTCTTCTCCAGTTGGGTTTTTCTATGGACATGCTGCAGTAGAATCTTAGCTAGCCTTAGAATGCCAGTCCCTGGAATTTTTGCCCAGCTCTTAGTGAGATCTTAGAGTGAAAAGACTGGAAAGATCAGCACTGTACAAACCTTTATAGAAAGGAAGTATTTGTAAGTGAAAAAGAAATTGCTTTATCTCAGAATCAATTAGCTTTGGGAATACAACAAAATGAAACAATCATTCATGAAATTTCTAATTAGTCTTTCCTAATTTGTGTTAAAATCCAAAAGGAATAACATTGGATTACATGCTCTTTTGAATTAAATAGCCATGTGTGCAGCTTTTTTTTACATACATGACTTAGGGCTTACTATAATACTGAGTCAGAAAAGTCATGACACATTGTTGCATAGAAAAATACATCATGACTTTTCCAACAAACCAATATGTAGGATATGGGAATTTTATTCCTCCTCGAAACTGATAACTCCATAACCCTCCAGAACAAACTGTATTCTGGACATGAAGGCAATTTGTTTACTGATCAGCTAATTAGAAATTAGGCAAGAATCTTCAAGAAAATTCTCTATTGACCCATTTCCCTATTTGCATCGACTAGCAAGCAACGTGGAACAGTAAATTGAAAGCTATAATAGCTAATCAAGACTTTACAACTATTTAATGCCTTGTGTATATACTCATCTGGACATGTTTTAGCATTGTTTCAATTCTATAAATTCTTTACCTATTGCATTTGATTACACTAGGTAGCAAAATATATGTTAATGACCTACATTGGATCTGGGCTGTCACTATACCATGTACCTTTCCATACTGCTGGTTAAGATTAGTTTGAAAGGATACACTACCAATTCAGAACAATCCTCCTGCTACTTCAGTCATTACAAGCTCTAGGAAAAGAATTAGCAGCTCTCCTGTGGGACTCCAACATGAGTAGAAAGCACCATTAGCGTTGTAGTTCCTTCCTCCAGCCCTATTAAGCATTCCCAAGAGACAAAAAGAAAAGTAGGTAAAGCTCATTGCTTATCAGAGCTATGAGGTCAGTAAGTAATTATACCTTCTTGCTTTTGAGTACAGTAGGATGAGCAAGTACATTACCACTGCTAATAAATTACACTCAAATTATAGTCTCTAAAGCAACAAAATAGTATTCCGAATTTTTTCTTAAAAAAATATCATAGTGACTCAGTTCTTTAAAAGCCATGTTTCTAATCACAATAGCCAAAATCAGTTACTTTAGTTGCGGTGTTTTGTTTTCAAATACTTACTACCTTCATAGAATCCTGAACATTTAAATTAAACATTAAAATATATATAATAAATAGTCATGTAATTTAGAATGGAAGAGCTAGGGATTAGAGGAAACAGAAATAAATGAAATTCGAGTGATACAAGACTTTGAAGTTCAGCTTGGAGGCTTTGAACCAAACATTTGGCAGCCCCTCAGATCATGTTAATTGCCTTTCTGTGTTTACATTTCTATATGCCAAATCATCATTTTGGCTTAAAATGTAATCATTATAACAAGATTGGAAATATTTAATTATTTCTCCCTCTCATACCTTCCTTATAGAAGTAATAGTTTTTGAACATAAATTATTTATTTATTTTTAAAATATTTTTTCTAAAAATTTAATTACTGTTTGTAAAGCAGACCAGAAAAAGAACACCAAAACTGCCTTTTAAATATTGTGTCTGAGACCAGCAGATAGTAAAATAGTTATGTTGCTAGATTCCCACACAGTAGACCGTGGTTCGAGCCCAGGACCTGGCAGCTTAAAATTCACACCAGGCGTGTGTGCGTGCATGCCCAAAATCCCATAAGGAGAATGGAGGAAAAGGGATTGCAGTGTGGCCATCCCTCCTGGGGGATGATTTCTCACTTTCTGTCTCCCTGTTTCTCTCTATCTCTCTGGCAAGCGTATATACCCTATAGAAAAAAATCTCTCTCAAAAAAAAAGTACTGTGATCACAGTGCTGAAGTTAAAGATATTTTAAGTCAGAATTTGGAAACAAAACCGTCTTGGAAATCTATCTGCTTATTCCTCTCATTCTGTGAGTAACCAAAACTTGGTTTTGACAGAGTGCATGCTTGCTGCACAAAAGGGACAGCCATGTCCCAAGACACAGACACATTTCAGCTGCAGTGGCCCATGGTATGTGTCCATGTCCCCCTCCAGGTCAATCTGCAGATTTTTGCAACTCTGCCCAAGGAAAAGCTTATAATATAATATAACCTAAATGCCTTTTCAGGTTACTCGATCCCCTCACCTGACTTACATTGAGGACCCAGTACAACCACTGTGTTGGAAACAATCTTACTGAAATATAATGATTCTGTACGTTGAAGGAATGCTATTCAAAACCAACATTTCATATAAACATACCATGTATTTTCTATTCAGCTTTCTATTAGTAAGGTCTATACTTTGCTAATGCTTTTAATGTTCTTACTCCCTGTACAATTAAACAGTACTAGAAAAGGGTGCTGTTTTCCTTCTGATATGGATATGTACAAAGGAGGAGGGAGGGAAAATATATAACCCTTTTAAGTCTTCATTTTTTAGCATAGTGAAAATTTTCAGTACCTCTCCGGTGCTGTCTTGATTCACCACACTAATGGCTGAGAACAAACGTGTGGTACACAAGTAACTTGAGTGGTAGTTTAATACAGAGATATTGCTTAATGTCCACATCTGAGTGTGTGGCACATCCTCTAATCCCCTGAACTGACAAGAACCAGTCCCTGGAGCTCTGCAGATTAGGCAGGGCCTCCTCAGCACCTTGTTCTCTTCCTTCTCTAAGATAAAGTCATCCTCTCTTACCCACATATGTTCTGGCTGTATTTTTAATATTTCTCCAAACTATAGAAATTTTCCTTTTGTGTAATAGTTTTATTGACCTTGGTCAGTGATGGAATGATTGGAATAAAAAATTGATATGTCATGACAGCAAATTAATGACCAATTACTATATGCATTTGCCATATGTTAATAAGATTTGAAAGTAGCTATTCATCCTATTTGGATGATTGAATATTCCTTTTATCTAATCCAACTATAAAAATGAAAACTGACTCACATTCCCAGAACCTAACAAATTTAGGGCATTTTCTAAAATAAATGGCTACATGAATCTCACAGCTCTATGTTTTACCTTTGTTTACTTTTTATTAGGTGTGCCACACATCTGCATTTCAGAAGGAAAATCTAGATTTTGCTGTTAAAAGGAACAAGGGATAAGGGATTTCAGATACGAGCTGTCATTTTATTTTCCCCTTTTTTTCGGCACTTCTCGGCAGCTTAGCAGCCAGTACAGTGACAGGACTAGAGGAACATACCCACCACTGTGACTGATAGAAGGCAAAAACACAAGAGGGTGGTCAGGAAATGCAGGGGACACCAAGAGTGGCATTTAAATGAGGTATACCTTGGAAAGAAAGGAAAGTGAGAATGGCACAGCCTTTAAGACCTTGGCTTCAGCTTATCTTACACCCTCTCTTCCACCATCTTCCCTTCCTCTTGCTCCCAGTGTCAGAGGCTACCTCTAGTTCCTGACCAGCTCCTGTGCTTTTGCGGTCTCTCCCTGTGGAGATGCTCCCTCATGCTGTTCCTCACTTTTACTTTTCTTTCTAGAACCAACTCAGGAGTCTTCTCTTAGAAGAAGCCATTGTGTTGTGTGTGTCTTAGCTTGAGAGGCTCAGCGAACTCCTCATGTGTTTATCTTGGCATGTATTGTATTCGGTTGGAATTACTGATGCCTCGGTCGTTCTCTCCCATTACAAGATCTTTAAGAAAAATGGTGACTATTATCAAAATTGCTTGTAACCCAGTGCTTACGTCTAGTCTCTGGCAAATAGTAGGCATGTAATGAAAGTACATGTGAACGAAAATCAAAAGGTGGGCCTTCAGATATCAGAAAGGAAATGTACTATTCAAAGCAGTAATTGACCTTGTTCTTTATTTGAATTAACACATATGGCTTGAAGTTTTAAGTGGCTTTTCAGAAATGAATGGTGCCCAAGAGAATGACCACATCTCAAGTACACTTTCTGTGTACTTGTGTGTACACATGTTCGTAACTATTTTTCAAAAGACTATTTTTATAAAGCATTTCTCCAAGACGGGCCACAGGCCATAATTTGTAGAAGTCAGGCTTCTGACTTTTTTTCAGCTTTGTATACATAACTTTGTTGAGATCCATGAGTATAAATGAAATAATATAGGGAATGAGTTAGTGCCTTAGAAAACATACTTTAAAAACAAATAAAATATGTGAAGACAAGTCTAAGAAAAGTGGACTAGTAAAGGGGGAGTGGATCTGGAGAGGAATAAAGTGCATATGTAAGTAAAGAGTCTCTGCAATTTATCTTTTACCCAAGTAAAATTACGTACATAATGTGAATGTCTAAAATTCTGTGGAGTCCCAGGCTGAAATTAATTAAAATGTTAAAAGACCTTATATGACATTTGGCCCTGGTGAGAGTGAGTGTTTGGGACTGATGTTTTACGTTCTACTTGGAATGGTTGTACATCTCTATATATTACAGCTTCTGTACCTTCCAAAATGTTTGTCTGCTTGGCAACAGCAAGCTCACTGAAACTTCTTTCTGACTTAAGTCAACAGCAATTTTCAATTTGGAAATAGGAATCAGAACCTAAAATCCGTATCCAAAGAAAACAATGCTCGATTTTTACAATATTCTAAATGAACCATTAGCTGAGATATCATATTTTTAAAAACTGTTTCACTTCTATTCAGAACTGTGAATGTGGCATTAGTCTGACCCTTACTCAGTGTCCTTTCTTCTTTAGCGGTATTGGAAGGAACTGGCCCTGGGCCTCGGGAGGCAGCAGTATTCTGGCAGAATTTGGAACCCTGCATTTGGAGTTCATGCACTTGAGCCACTTATCAGGAAACCCCATCTTTGCTGAAAAGGTGAGATTTCCCAATACACCTCGCATTGCAAAGTGGCACTCATAAGAAACAACATCCTCTCCTGGGTGATTTAGTAATAAACATGAGTATCCCTTATCCAAAATGATTGGGGCCTAGAGGGCTTCAAATTTTCCATATTTTAAGGATTTTGGAATATTTGCATATATATAATGAGATATCTTGGGGATGGGACCCATGTCTAAATACAAAATTCATTCATTTCACGCCTGCCTTATACACATAACATAAAGAGTATATGCAATATTTTTGTACTGCCGGGTTTTGACTGTGACCTGTCACATAAGGTCAGGTGTTGAATATTCCACTTTTGACATCATGTTAATGCTTTAAAAATTTTGGAGTTCGGAGATTTTCAGATTAAGGATGCTCAACCTCTCTTGGATATGAAAAATAACAGTCAAGATTATTATAGCTCTTCATGAAGTTTTGTAATGTGAGACATTTTATTTACTAACCTATAAATCCAGTCTTTCTATAACACCATTCCAACATAGGGTGACAGGGTCTGGCTCCCACATTTGGTTCTATACAACTTAAGTAAGTTACTTTACCTATTTGAATTTTTTCTTTTCGTTATCTAAAAATGTCGAGAATCAAGTAGACTATGTGAACCAAGTATGTGAAAGACTTACAGTCAGAGTGTTACGCAAAGGAGAGAAGGCAGCAGACTTCATTTCTAATTTTCAGGAAGTGTCCCACAGATATTTGGATAAATTCATGTTCACCCTCCCACTCTGCCCTGAACTTTACCCCCACTTGCTGGCTCCTCTTTATAGCAGTATTTCTTGAAAGAGTTCCCTATTCTTGTCTCTCACTCTCTTGAACCCTCTCCAGTCAGGCTTTTTTCCCAGCCATTCCTGTCACACTGACCAGTAAGCACCATATTGCCAAAGCCAGTTAACCCATTTTCCTCCCTCAGCTTTCTTACCCTCTCAGCAATTGACACAGATGGTAGGTCCCCCCCATGAGACCCTCTATGCACTTGGCTACAGGCAGTAAACAGCCTTCCATATTCATAGGTTCTACATCCTCAGATCCAAACAACCACCAATGCAGCTAGACCACTTCACTTATTACATATTATGGGAAGAGGTGGCTCTCTGGAAGAGAGATGCTAAAGAAATTTATTTATATATTTCTTTTTCACTGATATCCAATGCTAAGATTACTTATAAGTAACCTACAGATGACTTAAGTTATGCTGGAGGATGTGCATAGTTTATGTGCAAATAGTATTCCATTTATATAAGGGATTGAGCATGTGTGGATTTTTGTATCTGTGTGGCTCCTGCAACCAATTACCTGTGGCTATGAAGGATGACTGTACTCTCCTGGTTCACCCCATTCCTCGCTGGAGTACCCTTTCTCAGTTTCCTTCATCGGATCCTTCTCAACACCCCAACGTCTAACTATCGGAAAGTCCCAGACCTCACACTCGGGGCTTTTCCCATGTATATGTATTCACCTTTCACCTTATCTCATCCAGTCCTATGACTTTATATACCATCTCCATGCTGTTGACTCTAGATTTATAATTCCAGTCCCAGCCTGTCCCCTGAGGTCCACTCTTTTTTTTTTTTTTAGTAATAAACATGAGTATCCCTTATCCAAAATGATTGGGGCCTAGAGGGCTTCAAATTTTCCATATTTTAAGGATTTTGGAATATTTGCATATATATAATGAGATATCTTGGGGATGGGACCCATGTCTAAATACAAAATTCATTCATTTCACGCCTGCCTTATACACATAACATAAAGAGTATATGCAATATTTTTGTACTGCCGGGTTTTGACTGTGACCTGTCACATAAGGTCAGGTGTTGAATATTCCACTTTTGACATCATGTTAATGCTTTAAAAATTTTGGAGTTCGGAGATTTTCAGATTAAGGATGCTCAACCTCTCTTGGATATGAAAAATAACAGTCAAGATTATTATAGCTCTTCATGAAGTTTTGTAATGTGAGACATTTTATTTACTAACCTATAAATCCAGTCTTTCTATAACACCATTCCAACATAGGGTGACAGGGTCTGGCTCCCACATTTGGTTCTATACAACTTAAGTAAGTTACTTTACCTATTTGAATTTTTTCTTTTCGTTATCTAAAAATGTCGAGAATCAAGTAGACTATGTGAACCAAGTATGTGAAAGACTTACAGTCAGAGTGTTACGCAAAGGAGAGAAGGCAGCAGACTTCATTTCTAATTTTCAGGAAGTGTCCCACAGATATTTGGATAAATTCATGTTCACCCTCCCACTCTGCCCTGAACTTTACCCCCACTTGCTGGCTCCTCTTTATAGCAGTATTTCTTGAAAGAGTTCCCTATTCTTGTCTCTCACTCTCTTGAACCCTCTCCAGTCAGGCTTTTTTCCCAGCCATTCCTGTCACACTGACCAGTAAGCACCATATTGCCAAAGCCAGTTAACCCATTTTCCTCCCTCAGCTTTCTTACCCTCTCAGCAATTGACACAGATGGTAGGTCCCCCCCATGAGACCCTCTATGCACTTGGCTACAGGCAGTAAACAGCCTTCCATATTCATAGGTTCTACATCCTCAGATCCAAACAACCACCAATGCAGCTAGACCACTTCACTTATTACATATTATGGGAAGAGGTGGCTCTCTGGAAGAGAGATGCTAAAGAAATTTATTTATATATTTCTTTTTCACTGATATCCAATGCTAAGATTACTTATAAGTAACCTACAGATGACTTAAGTTATGCTGGAGGATGTGCATAGTTTATGTGCAAATAGTATTCCATTTATATAAGGGATTGAGCATGTGTGGATTTTTGTATCTGTGTGGCTCCTGCAACCAATTACCTGTGGCTATGAAGGATGACTGTACTCTCCTGGTTCACCCCATTCCTCGCTGGAGTACCCTTTCTCAGTTTCCTTCATCGGATCCTTCTCAACACCCCAACGTCTAACTATCGGAAAGTCCCAGACCTCACACTCGGGGCTTTTCCCATGTATATGTATTCACCTTTCACCTTATCTCATCCAGTCCTATGACTTTATATACCATCTCCATGCTGTTGACTCTAGATTTATAATTCCAGTCCCGCCAGACAGACAGAGAGAGACATAGAGACAGAAAGCGAGAAATCACCCCCCAGGGGGGATGGTCACGCCGCAATCCCTTCTCCTCCATTCTCCTCTCGGGATCTTGGGCACGCACGCACACGCGCCCGGCGTGAGTTTTAAGCCACCGGGTCCGGGACACGAACCGCGGTCGACTACGTGGGAGTCCAGCGACATAGCCATTACGCTAACTGCTGGTTCCCAGGTCCACTCTTTATTCAACATTTATTTGGCCTCTTCACTAAGAGGCCAAGTCTCATTTAAAATGTCTGATTCAACCCCCAAAGCCTGCTTCTACTTCAGCCTTCACTATCTTGGCAAATGGCACCTCAATTTACTCAGTGGCTCAGGTCAAAGATGTGGGTCATTCTGCTGCTGCTTTTTGGCAAACCCCAGGTCTGCCCATCAGGAAATCCTCTGCTGCCTTTGTAGTCTAGCACCCATCACCTTACATCTGCACTCTGAAGGAGCCACTCTGCAGCAGCCACCTGATTACCACTTCCTCTCTAAAGCCTCACCAATGACTGGCTTCCTTGTGTTGCTAGGCCCTGGTTCTCTCTCCTCTGCTCACTGGCATTCCCTTTTGCTTCCTGACCTCCATCCTTAGAGGCCTTGCCTAGCCCATTCTCTGTTTAGGCCTTTTGTACCTACTACTCCCTCCACTCATGCTGTTCTTCCTTACATTTCTGCCTGACTTGCTCTCTTATTTTTATCAAGCTCTGTTCAAACACATCAGCTTTCCCAGACCATCCTGACCAACACAGCAGAGCCTTTCCACCTCACATCATTCTCCATCTCAGTTCAGGCTGTCATAACGAAATGCATAGTCTGAGTAGGTTAAGCAACAGACACGTATTTCTCACAGTTCTGGAAGTTGGAAAGTTCAAGGTCCAGGTGTCAACAAAGTTGGTTTTATTCTGACGCCTTTTATCTTGACTTAAAGCTGGCGGTATCCTACAGAATGCTTACATTACTTCTTTTTTGTGCACAGAAAGAGGGAAAGAGAGAGCTGTCTTGTGTCCCTTCTTATAAGGACACTGATCCCATCATGAAGACTTTACTCTCATGACCTAATTACCTCCCTGAGTCCTCATTTCCAAATACCATTGTTTCGGGAGCTAGGACTTCAACACATGAATTTGGGGTAGGACACAATTCAGTCCATAACACTCTATTTTTTTTACAGCATTCTTCTTTTCTTAATGTACTAGATGTGTTTATTATATATATCATCCCACTGGAATGCAAAATTCTGGGAGGATAGTAACCTTGTTTGCCCACTGATCTATCTCTAATAAATGGCCTAGTATGTGGTAGATAATCACTGTGACCATATCCACTTACGGCTGTTATTTTATAATAGTAACAAGCTGTCAGAAACTACCTTTGTTTTAACATCATTTACATCATTTCAGTCAACTTTTTTATTCCAAAATAGAAAAATATAACAAGAAAGAAAAGACTGTCATAATTTTTTTGTTTTCCATTTTCTTAGTAACATTTCATTTTCTATTATTGTAGGTAATGAATATTCGAAAAGTACTGAACAAACTGGAAAAACCAGAAGGCCTTTACCCTAACTATCTGAATCCCAGTAGTGGACAGTGGGGTCAACGTAAGTCAAAAGATTAGCTTTCTTTTAACTCTATATGGTACCCAGCACTGTGCTAGTAGCAGAGAAAGGCAGCACAAAAAGTGAGCAAATTTTGTTGAAGGATATTTAGAAAAGGAGAAAAGAGGTGTGGTACCCTTAATTAAACAGGTTTCTGTCATAAAACAGATTTTGTATTACCAGGAACTCGGATTATTTATGTTTCATGTATGACTGTAAGTCTAGGGACATATACACACATTTAAAGCTATTCATCATAAAGGGAAGAAATGGGCAGGGTGGAGTGGAACTGTAACGAGCTGATCACATGGATAGAAGGCAAATGTATTCTTTTATGCTAGTGACTAGGAAGATTCTACACAGCGTAGCTAGATCATTTGACTTGGTGACATTTTCTCTTCCTGCATTGCGATGAGAGCAGAGCCTGAATCTTTAAGAGCTGGGGAATTGAAGAGCAAACGGTGTTTTTCTCCACTTAATTTCAAGCCACCCAATAAAGGTTGCTTGCCAGTAGAGTTACCTTTAGAGTAGTAGAAAGTATTATACACAGACTGTTGATGCCATAAGCCCTCACTTAAAACCTTAACTTAAAAACTTGACTAAGGATATAAAGATCCGGAATGGGTGAACGAAATATTTTCAAGCTGATTTGGGAAAACGTGGTAGATTAGATAACAGCTGAAAGCAAGGGAAGAATATTAAGTGAAGTGTATAATTGGCGAGGGTGTTAGCACTGCCTTAAAATCTCACTCTAATTTTGGTATTTTCTTTATTTTTAAACATCATATTCTTGAGTGATTATGCCTGTTACTTTAAAAGCACTATACTTTTCTTAAAGAATAATTTAGTAGAAAAAAAAATGTACTAAATTTTATGCCTGTAACCTGGTAATAGATAGGGAAGTTGAAATCTTAGAAGGGTAAGGTTGTCATTTACTGAAGTGTGGGCTACAGATCCCTGCAAGGAGATTTGCAAGAACGTAAACTGTGTCAGTCTTCTCACTTTTGTGTTATAAAATGTATACACTTTATTGTGTATAAAATTTTGATAAATTGTAGACAAGTGGTCTTCAAAAAATTTGTAGATGCATGTTATGAAAACACCGTGCATAAGTTTCAAAAATTTTTACACCAAAATAAACTCATTCTTTACTTCCATTTTGCCACAAACTTTTTGACGTTCCCTCACATGTTCACATAATAGGTAGATATATAACAGATATTTTTAATGCATTAAAAATATTTTAAAATTCTGTCAAAATTTCCAATGTCGTAAATGTTGGTAGGTATTACATAAACAAATTCTTTGAGGTGCTGATTTATTTATAAGAGTGTAAAAGGGTGCTGAGACTAAAACGTATGAGGGCCACTAGAGTATTAGAGATTAAACAGAACTTGTATAGCTTTTTAAGTACAAGATGACTAAATAAAATTCTCTAAAAGGAAAAGCTTTTATGGAGTTCCCACCACAGGTTTCAAAACCCGAAGAAAGAAAAGTCTCTTTGATTTGGTCTATTCTGTGATTTAGGGCTTAGAAGTCACTATGAAGAAGGACAAAAGGAGCCGGTTGTATTGGATCATCCCAGCTTCACCTTCTGGGTCACCCATAGCCCATGTATTTGGCCATGTTTCCTGGTACAAAGAATCCTTTATATTCAGATTGCTTGTGTGCCAGTTTCCAGATGGAAAAACATCAGGACTTGAGTCCCATGTCTCTCTCCTTCCCCACTCCCTATCCTGTGTTCCAGACTCAAAGAAGACTCACTTATTTTTTTAATTCTTTAATCGAGGCCAGCTCAGCCATATCTAGGTCTTTGCTTATGCCGTTTCCTTCATCCTTCTGCCTGTCTTTTTCCTCTACCAAAGTCTACCTCAATTCCATTTCTTTCAGGAAGCCAAATTTAAAGCCTTAGTTGAAATTCATTAGCATCCATTTCTCCTCCTTTTCTTTCTCCCCTGCCCCAGCACTTCAGGTACTTTCCTGATACAGACCTTTTCCTGATGATTCATATACACAGCCATCTTCCTAGGTATCCAAACTTCTGAGGGTGGTAGAATGTCAGTCATACTTGTTACTCCGCCACACAGTGTCTTGCACCTTGAAAGTGTTTACTTACTTGACTTTTGTGAATATTCATGTGCTCTGTATCTGATCTATTCTGTCCTGCCTTTAATGATTCTTTTTTTTTTTTTTTTGGAGAGGTTTTAGCTATAGGGTGCATGCACTCGCCAGAAAGACAGAGAGCGACAGAGAGACAGAAAACGAGAAATCACTCCCCAGACGGGATGGCCACACTCCAGTCCCTTCTCCTCCTTTCTCCTCTCGGGATCTTGGGCATGCACACACACGTGCCCAGCATGAGTTTAAGCCACCGGGTACAGGATTCAAACTGCTGTCGACTACATGGGAATCCAGCAACATAGCCATTACACTAACTGCTGGTCCCAATAATGATTCTATTTATTCTCTTTTAGGTGGAGTTCACCCAGCTCCTTACTTGTAGCTGAGAGTAGCATCTTGTCCTGGTCACTGATAATGTAAATAGATTGTGACCATTAAGGGTACATGTGTAGGGTTAGACATGTCTAAACACACAATTCTCAACTTTGTTTAATATAAGTAGCATCACTGGGGGACTATTTTGAGGAGAGAAAATTTACAAAGTCTACAAAGCAGACTTTTTAAAAATTTTTTTAAATTATTTAATTTTATTTTTTCATTCATTTGTTTTAATTTGAGGAGAGAGTGAAAGAGAGAAAGTGAGAAAGCAAGCCACCAGGTCTGGGACTTGAGCCGTGGTCGGCCATGTGGGAGTGTCCAGCGCCTTATCCACCACACCACCTACTGGTCCCTACAAAGCAGAGTTTAAAAGAGATATTGACTAGTTTAATCCTCTTTTGTCTTTATTTTTTGCTTTTTTTCCTCTATTTCTAGATATTAGGAATTCTTTTATGGAATCTATTCCTACTAGAAAGAGAATATTAAATTACCCATTTAGAGAACAGTATAATTGAATGACTACAGTACGCATTACCTTCAGTACCTTGGAAATAAAAATACCATATACGTTCTTTCCAAAAGTAGGCAGTCCTTTCCTGTCAGTAGAATCAGACATGATCTCTCCCATGTTCACTGAGATGTTTATGCGGGGCTCTGTTGTCAATATGATCAGTAGCCCAGACCAGGGGTGTGCATGGGGGGAATCTTAGTGAGTGGTATGTAAATGATCAAAAAGATGAGTTTCTCTGTGTTTCCCTATTTTGACTTTTTAGCAAATGTGAAAATTTTATAGGCAGGAAATTAAAAATAGAAAACTAATTAGAGCTTACCAATATTGTGGAAAATAAATGGGTTAACACATAACCCCTTTTTCTATTTTAAAAATTCCAAAATGTCTAAACTTGTTTTTTCCATTCATGACAAAATCATCACCAAAGAGGGGAGAATATCAAACTGCTTCTGGCTATTAGTTTTTAACTCCCATTGCCTTAACTCTGAGGACATGTCTGGACCGTGGCCATCATTATCTGTTACTTCCTTTAGAACTTGTTATTTTGACAGTAACTGGATAGTGACTTGCTTTACCATGCATCACTTGCATGTGTCTCCTACAATCATGTTTTTAACAACAGGGGCTATTATTGATGAGATAGTACTTAGCCTATTTAGTTTGTAAATGTCAGAGGTTTCTGTACTGATTTATTTAGGAAACTATAAAGGTCACTTCCGACACCGCAACTTTAAGAATCAGACTTATACTTTTTAAAACACATTTTCACAAGCTGAAAAACTGTAATTCTGGACTTTCTGTGATTAAAAAATACATATTAGATTCTAAAAATATGGTACTTCTAGCTTGAATAGTTACAGTCTTTTGGAAGTGGATTTAAACATTTTTGCTTGGTTCCTGGGCTGTGTATTGAGTACCTACCACATACAATATACCTGTTAGGGACTGGTATGGACTGAAAAGTATGGTATGTCTGGTCTCTGCCCTTCTGCATCATACTCTCATGGATAAGACAAGAAGATTCTACTAGATTATGAAATCTCAGGTGTGGTAAATGTGTGCTCTCAAAAAGCAGGTGATGGGGCCAGCAGGTGGTGTAATTGTTAAGGTACTAGATTCCCACGTGGCCTATCATGGTCCAAGTTCTGGACCCAACAGCTTGAGAATTAAGCCAGGCACCTGTGCCTGTGTGCCCCAAGTCCCAGGAGAAGCTTAGAGGGGAAGATATTGTAACATGACCATCCCTCCTGAGGCGGGGAGTGATTTCTTACGTTTTCTCTCTCTCTCTCTCTCTCTCTCTCTGACTCACTCACTCACTCTCTCTCATATGTGCCCTGTGGCAAAAATGTTAAAAAAAAAAAAAGGCATGTGATGAGGAAACTTGTACAAGGTGTCCAGGACAGCATCTTTGAGGAAGTGCCATTTGATCTCATACTACATGAAGTATAAGTAAGAATTACTGAAGAAGAAAAGGGTCTCAGAGTGCATTTCAGGTAGTAGAAACAAAGCCCTGAGACACCCTCAGGCAGAATGGAACCTCGTGTTTCTGAGGAACCAAAAGAAGGTCTGTATGGCAACAAGTAGAGAGGAAGAACAACAAGACTGCTGATAGGAAGGAGACTGAGATCCACAAGGCCTCCCAGGACTCCAAAGACCAGGACCGAATGATTAACTAAGGCGTGATCAGATGCACATGTTAAAAGGACTCCGTGGACATTAGTATGGAGAGTAGATGGGAGTGGAGCTGCCATCGTAGTTTCTGCAGTGACGGAAATGTTGCACATCTTCTCTGTCCAGTACAGTATGCAAGGGCCCCATGTAGCTATTGAGCACTAGTAAAGCTCGGGAACTAGATTTTTCTGTTTTATTTTTTAATTGATTTTAATTTAATCAACTTAAACTAGAATTGTTATGCTACCTAGAATAAAAGCAAGGAATCAGATAATTAGCCACTGCAGACTCAGAGGCAAGAGGCAGTAGTGAGTTGAGCCAGGATCAGTTTGGTGAAAACAGAAAGAAGTGAATGAACTCAAGGAATAAAATTAGTAGATTTTGGTACTCATTGGATGTGGGAGTAAAACACAGAAGTAAAGAATGACCACCTGATTTTTGCAGATAAGAGCATGGCGTCCTTGGAAGATACAGTTGAAATGAAAGGGATAATAAACTTACTTTTTAACCTGTTGAATTTTAGGTGCCCAAGTGGAGTTCTTGGGCAGGAATCAGAAGAAAAACTGTCTTGACAGATGTATAAAGACCGATTTTACTTTTGTATAACCAAGTCAACAAAGATTTTGTTATAGATAAACAAAATTAGTTTTGAATTATGGGACTTAAAAGACTACCTTACTAATACTCAAATTCTGTGAATGCTAATGTTGATGTTTCAAATAGATTGTGTTTCTGTAAACACAACTATGCATGAAAAGAAAAATTACTGGCCTACCCTTAGTGGCACAATTGGTAACATACTAAACTAGAGTTGAAAACCACATGGCTGACTGCAGGTTCAGATCCCCAGTCAGCCTGAAAACATGCTGGGCACGCACACATGCATGCAAAATCCTACGTCAACTGTAGCCCAGTGTTACATTTAAATTTCAACAAATGTCTTACTTTCAAAATGGCATTCTGAAATGAGCAGATGTGCTGCTAACTAATGTAATATACTCTAAACATTACCAGGGCAATTTTGTAAACAAAAAGAGACATAATCACCCTTAAGTCTAAGAATCAAGTTCTCTAGTAAATAAACAAATAGAAACTAAACTAAATTAAAATCGTTCAAGTATATATATTTAAGTAAATTTTTATTTTTATTTGACAAGCTGGAGGGCTGGGGAAAGAGAATTGTGACAGGAAAAGACCTTGTTGAGCCTTATTTTCTCTCTCTTCCTTTCTCTCCTTCTCTCTCATGTGCATATGTACACTACCATTAATAAAATAAACTTTAAAAATAAGTAAGCGAAAGTACTAATTCAAGCAGTTAGTGTTTTATGATGGAGACCGAGCAAACCCAAATGTGAGACTCTGTGACTTCTAGAGTCAGGTGGCACTTTTCAATGCTGTGATCTCATTTAGCCTCTCTTAGCCTCATTTTTCTCACTTTTAAAATGAGGATTACAGTGGCAAGATTGTTAGTAATACATTGCAGTGGGGTTGGCCTCATGAATAGCAGAAGAGTTGTGTTGAAGGAATGGAGTATTAGCAGGAAAAACTTCCATCCTATCTTCTCTCTTACTGCCTCAACCTGTAGGTTTTGGACCCTTCAGATTGGTACACTAGAAAGCTTATCAAATAATAATAATAAAAGCAAGAACCTGAAGAGCTTCTTCTTTTCCAACAAGTTGCTATTTTTTTAAGATTTGCTTCTACTCATAGTTCTGACAAAATCTGATATTATTCAGAACTAAAGAAAATAGAAATTTATTCAAATATATATACTGTGGGACATTTTAATTTAGTTTTGTTTTCTTGTCTGTTTACTAGAGAACTAGATTCTTAGAATGAAGGGTGATTACATATCCATTACCTTCATGTTTACAAAACTACCCTGGCAATGTTTGGTGTATATCACTTTTGTTAACAGCACATCTGCTCATTTCAGAATACCATTCTGAAAGTAAGAAATTCGTTGAAGTTTACATGTAACACTGAGTTATAGTTAACATAGGATTTTGCATCCTAGTTGCTAATGGTTTTAGTGCATTATCTGAATTAAAGACAGAATCATTCTAAACTCATTTCCCTCTCTTTTCAGATCATGTATCAGTTGGAGGTCTTGGAGATAGCTTTTATGAATATTTGCTAAAGGCATGGTTAATGTCTGACAAGACGGATTTAGAAGCTAAGAAGATGTATTTTGATGCTGTTCAGGTAACTCAATATTTAAATCATCTTTGCCATTCAGCTCTAACTTACAGCTTGCGTATTAAACAAGCTTCAATGAAAAAATAGAATACTAGATGAGTGGGGTTACAAAATATTTTCAGTTAGGTGCAGTTCAATATGTGCTAATATAATTACAACAATAGTAATCTTGCTTAATATGATTAGTTCTGATTGTTAAGTTAGAAGTTTTTTACTTGGTTCAAACCTCAGTTAAGAGTCACAGATCTGAAAAAAAAAAAAAAAGAGGTATTCTTCTTTAATAAATATGAATTTGCTCCATAGAGCCACAATTTTAAGTTATGAAGGAGAAACCTTGAAAATGTATTCTGAAAATTGACTAAGTTAAAATTGCCTCCAAGATTGGGACCATCAGGTAGCGTAGTGGTTGAGGTGCTGGATTCCGACATGGTGAACTGCAGTTTGAGTCCCAGACCTAGCAGCTTGAAATTCACACGGACTCGTGTGTGTCTGCGTTTGTCACACACACGTGCCAACAAAATCCTAAGAGGAGAATGGAGGAGAGGAGTTGTGACATGGCCATCACCTCTGGGGGCTAGTCTCTCTCTCTCTCTCTCTCTCTCTCTCTCTCCCTCTGTGTGTGTGTGTGTGTGTGTGTGTGTGTGTGTGTGTCGGATGTGCCCTTTAGCAAAATTCTCTCTTAAAAAAAGAAAAATTGCCCAAGATTACAACCAGTACTAATGGCTATCTCCATTTGAAGTAAACTCACTTCCAGAGACATGTGGATAGTTCTCAAAGGAAATCCAGATATGAAAACTTGAACAAATTAATACTTAAAGGAAAATCATTGATAGTTTTCAAAGGATCCTTTATAATGAAGGAGGTATCAGAAGGAACAAATACGTGTTGAATTGTTCACTGTGTACCAAGCAGTGTGTTAGGAAGATCATTTTTGTCCCACAGTACTTTAGACATTATTCACCCAATTTTATAGCCATGGTTGCTGAATCTAAGAGAGGTTAGGGATGGAACTAGAAGTTCATAGTAAAATTTGTCTGAGTCAACACCTGCTCCTTGTTATTTCACCACTTGGGGTTTATTTGTAAAGAATTTCCACACTCCATTGAAATGTTTATTTGGAAGCAATTAGTAAGATAAGTTAGAGACTACTGGGCAACATCTATAGGAGGCAGCCAGTGCAGAAGTAAACTAAGAAACGCTTCCAGTTATGCCTCAGTTAAAAGTAAAAATAAAGTTAGAAAGTAAATAAAGTCAAGAAAAAAATTACTTGAATTTGCACCCAACTTTTCAGGAACTTTTTGGGGTGCAGAATCAGGTACCTTTGTAATTGATAAGTATTTTACCTGGTAATTCACAGATACAATCACATGCTGCTTAACTCAGGGCTATGCTCTGGGAAACACATTGCTAGATGATTTTGTCTTTGTGTGAAATCACAGAGTCGACTAACGCAAGCCTACATGGTGTAGCCTACTGCGTACCTAGGCTGCATGGTATTGATACTGGATTTGGTACCCTTAGGGGACATAAGGAGCAGAACCATACAAGAATAAATCAAGCATGAGAGAAAATGATGCAATGAAGACATGTGGAATAAACACGAAATGTCTGGGAACCAGCAGTTAGCGTAATGGCTATGTCGCTGGATTCCCACGTAGTCGACTGCGGTTCGTGTCCCGGACCCGGTGGCTTAAAACTCACGCCGGGCGCGTGTGCGTGCGTGCCCAAGATCCCGAGAGGAGAATGGAGGAGAAGGGATTGCGGCGTGACCATCCCCCCTGGGGGGTGATTTCTCGCTTTCTGTTTCTATGTCTCTCTCTGTCTGGCGAGCGCACGCACCCTACAGTGAAAATCTCTCAAAAAAAAAAAAAAAAACACGAAATGTCTGAGGCTGCTGCCTGCCTAGGAGAGCATACTGTTTCACAGTAAAGAGGTTTTTATATAAGTAGGAGTACACTCTAAATAATGTTTTTTAAAAAATAAAAACACAGTATCATAAATACACAAGCCCGTAACATAGTTTCTTGTTATCATTGTCAAGTAGTACATACTATTCATCACTGCCTGCTGTACTTTTATACAGCTGTCAGTACAGTAGGTCTGTTGACATCAGCATCACCGTAGGCACCAAGGAATGCCTTGCCCTGTATGACTACAATGTCACTAGGTGATAGGAACTTTTCAACTCCATTATAAGCTTACAGGACCAATGTTATATGCTGTCCATCATTGATGGAAATGTCATTACACAGTGCAAGACTGTAGCCTTTTAATATGAATTATCAAGGATTCTCAAATAGTAAAATTATAGCTAATCCTCAAAAAACTGAACTTTTTCTTGATTACTTAGAATTTTTTTTTATAACCAGGAATATTAATTTATAAGGGAAAAAATGGAAATTTGTTTTGAGATTGACTTCCCTAACAGGATATCTAGGTGATTTTGACATAGGCTGTCTTATTTACTTCAATATAAATGCAACTCACTTTGCTCTGGTTAACGGTGGAATATTACATTGGTTTCTTCCCGTGGTCACTTGGGAGTTTCGTTAAATGAAGCACATACAACTCATTATGACTTCACAAGTGGGAACCAGAAGTGCTTTAGCTAGACATTGGCCTTAATTTGGGCCCAACCGTTATTAAGGCACATGATGAACATCAAGAGCAAACTTGGGGGGAACCAGCAGTTAGCATAATGGCTATGTTGCTGCACTCCCACGTAGTCAACCGCAGTTTGCATCCTGGATCCGGTGGCTTAAAACTCACACTGGGCGCGTGTGCGTGCGTGCCCAAGATCCCGAGAGGAGAATGGAGGAGAAGGGATTGCAGCGTGACCATCCCCCCTGGGGGGTGATTTCTCACTTTCTGTCTCTCTGTCTCTCTGTCTCTCTCTGTCTGTCTGGCGAGCGCACATGCCCTATAGCGAAAACCTCTCCAAGAAAAAAAAGAAAAAAAAAGAAAAAAAGAGCAAACTCGGATATGAGTCACACGGCTTCTTAGAAGTTCGTTTCTTTATTAGTTCTATGAGGCTTCAAGTTTTAACCTAAGGAATTCTTCTCCATATATTATAATTTCCATTATATTGTAATTACCATACTGGCCAAACATTGCCATTCTTTTTTTTAATAGTTCATTTGATTAAATCATTAATTTATAAAGTTGGACCAATACATTGGCTTTTCTGGGGAAACCATTCCTTTAAACTGTCTCACAATCTAGCATATATTACGTTAGGTGTCAAAACATTCCTTTTATTTTTTATTATTTATTCATAATGGAGTATGAAATGACAGTGAAAGGGCAGGTCCTTGCAGGTCAGGAAAGTCATGTTAATGTTTCAACACATTTGGTTTAAGTGGAACACCAGGGTAAGTGTTCCACATACCACCTGCTTCCTCACCTGACTGACCTCCTACCAGTTCCTTTCTTCTTTTCCACACATCAACCCTGTGATGCCCTGATCTCAAACAGCTCCCACTCAATTGTGTACAGAGGGATAAATACTGAAGAGACTTCATCCTGACCCTCACTTTTGGCATTAAATAGCCTTAAACATGGCAGGTGAACTCTGACCCAGACCAAATGAAGATTTTTAAGATATTTTGACAGAACATCTGAATTCAAATCTAGAAAAAAGTGCTATTGGGGAAAAATAAAGTCTTTGTTGATGTTCTGAAAATGCCCATAAGAATTAGGGAATACTTTAGGCAGAAACTCTGGACACAACAGAAACTTCAATAGGTACAGCCTGGATCTGCTGAGCCAGCTGTCGTGAGGGTTTGCTGGCAGGCAACCTGTCTTGCACATTGTGTCTGTTGAGCTGAGTCTAGAACAAGAATCTTCCAGCTCTATCCCAGAGTACTCTCCAATGTGTTATAGTTGTCCTTAAAGCTCTTCAATTCAAGGAAGTACTTTGCATGTTTACTCTTCTGACTGGAGGGGAACTGTGTCACCTGGATGGTTGCTGGGGAGACTCCAGGGGACTGAGTTAAGTCTTTGCTGACTGGTTTTGTCAGTGAGAGCTCCCAATTCGTAATTTGACCAAGGTGGCTAACTCACCCAGGGCCTCCTGATGGCGCAGGTACTTGCTCTATCCAAAGACCACGTTCCATAGTGGGCTGTCTCATAGCCATCCAGCAGGGTATCAGTAAGGGCCTTGCACACGCCCTTGAAAGGAATACTAGCATTTCACAGATACAGCTGTTAGGAGTGGAAATTCTTACCCATTAAGAATGGGGATACCAGCCTTCAGCATGAAATGGAAATCTCAGAGGCATGGACGTTGCCCAGAGCTTTCATTCTGCACAGATAGTTGTAGCAACTTTGATTTCCCTGGATTTCCAGCTGCAGCCGTCCAGCATTATCATCTACAAGGAGCTGGTGTTCATATTTTATATTCTTTTTTTTTTTTTTTTGAGAGGTTTTCGCTATAGGGCGCTTGCGCTCGCCAGACAGACAGAGACATAGAGACAGAAAGAGAAAGCGAGAAATCACCCCCCAGGGGGGATGGCCACGCCGCAATCCCTTCTCCTCCATTCTCCTCTCGGGATCTTGGGCACGCATGCACATGTGCCTGGCGTGAGTTTTAAGCCACCGGATCCAGAACGAGAACCGTGGTCGACTACGTGGGAGTCCAGCAACATAGCCATTACGCTAACTGCTGGTTCCCCATATTTGATATTCTGAACCCTGGATAATCAAATATCAATCTCTTCTTTCAGATCCTTAGGGGCATTGTGTCCCAAAGGGACATGAGGTCCTCTTCTATTAATAGATTTCATTGTAAAGCACATGATTTGCCTCTTGACAAAAATAAATAGCACCAACACCAAACTTCTGTAGGCCATCAATAGCGTGACTTTCACCCTGGACAGCCAGTTACTGCCAGACACCATGGCCTCTCTACCCCACACAGAACTGCCTGGGTTTACACCACTACCCTGCCTCATCAGTCCAGGCTCCACCAAACCAACAACATCTGGGTTCCCTGGAGCTCCCTGGCCATTTCCTTATGGGGGAAGAACAAGCCAGACCTGGCCCCAAAACATGGCAGATGAAGGGGCCATTATTCTAATCTTAAAGTGGCCCTCTAAGATCTTGGTGTTCCAAAAAAGGCAATTTTAATTTAAGCTTTGAATATTTCACCCCTAGTTTTTAGAACTACACCCACACAGCTTTTAGTATATTGAATTTAAACAAATCATTAATAGAAAAATGTATTAAGAACAAATAAAGTCAAAAGTATTTCCTGTTTCTCTTAGTAAGAAAAAATATCTTCAATGCATTATATATTTTTAATTTAGAAAACAAAGTTAGAGCAACTTAACTTTCAATATTGAGAAGCACCAATGTCTTATATAGCATAATTTCTTTTTGCTCTATTGTACTTTAATAAAGAGTATATTTTTATTGGACACGCAGATGGTATAGTGGTTATGTCACTGGAGTCCCACATGGCCAACTGGGGCTTGAGTCCTGGACCCACTGGTTTGAAAATCACACTAGGCACCTATGCGTATGTGCCCAAAATCCCAGAAAGATAATGAAGGAAAAGGGATTGTGGCATGGTCATATACCCTGAGGGGTGATTTCTCACCTTCCCTCTCACTGTCTCTCTCTCTCTCTCTCTCTCTCTCTCTCTCTCTCTCTCTCTCTCTCTCTCTCTCTCTCTCTCTCTCTCTCTCTCTCTCTCTCTCTCTCTCTCTCTCTCTCTCTCTCTCTCTCTCTCTCTCTCTCTCTCTCTCTCTCTCTCTCTCTCTCTCTCTCTCTCTCTCTCTCTCTCTCTCTCTCTCTCTCTCTCTCTCTCTCTCTCTCTCTCTCTCTCTCTCTCTCTCTCTCTCTCTCTCTCTCTCTCTCTCTCTCTCTCTCTCTCTCTCTCTCTCTCTCTCTCTCTCTCTCTCTCTCTCTCTCTCTCTCTCTCTCTCTCTCTCTCTCTCTCTCTCTCTCTCTCTCTCTCTCTCTCTCTCTCTCTCTCTCTCTCTCTCTCTCTCTCTCTCTCTCTCTCTCTCTCTCTCTCTCTCTCTCTCTCTCTCTCTCTCTCTCTCTCTCTCTCTCTCTCTCTCTCTCTCTCTCTCTCTCTCTCTCTCTCTCTCTCTCTCTCTCTCTCTCTCTCTCTCTCTCTCTCTCTCTCTCTCTCTCTCTCTCTCTCTCCAACAAGTGCACATGCCCTATGACAAAAGTCTCTCAAACAATTTTAAAAAGATTATCATTATCAAGGAGAAGATGCTTCAAATTATTATTCTGGACATTTGAGTTACTAGAAATACAGGGTTACTAAGCTTTAGCTTCCAGTGGATTTTGGAAAACATTTCATTCCAGAGCGATATGTTTTCTTTGGTTGGTTTAATAACAAAATACTTTTGAGTTTCCGGCTGACTGTTGTAGCCCTATCAGGAGACTACACTATGAAACCACAGTGCTCAACAATACCTGGGTAGGACATGAAATTACAACACATACAGTACTCATTTTTCCTAATCAGTTATCTGTAGCCTTGACCCAACTTTGTTTTAGAGCCACTAAAGATTGCTTTTCCTTTTTTATATTCATTTCCTTTTTTCCCATTGCCAGACAAAACCTTTTCATTGGTCTTGAAATATGTTGTAGTTTATTTTGAGAAGTTGCACCTTGGTTAAAATCATATTAAACAGAATATAATACTTTATTCAGGATCCATAACAGGGTAATAATGTTTCTCTAATCTATGCTCAAAAGCTATTACTCTTGCCACGTAGAAAGAATAATTTCTTGGGTGATAAACAAGTATCTGCTTGAAGAACTTCATTGCAATTTGCGTTATGAGAAGTGTAAATAGCTAGGATGTTAAGTTGCATTAAATAAAAATGAAATATTAATGTAATAACTAAACTGTCAATAAAATTTGTTTAACCACAGTTAATGAGCACAGTAGTATGCTCATCTCTTATCATTTTGGTTTCATTTGCTTATTTTTAATAAAAATAGAAAAGATTTTATCTGCCTGTGTATTCATTTTTCTCCATCATAAACTTTTTCCTGTGTCTTCTATTCCCAAATGTGCTTCCTAAAAACCTTTCTTATTTGATAGCAATATATAAATATAGACCTGGTCATATCCTTTTTTCTCCTAGGGAATAATTAGAAGCATTTTTCTTTGGGAGTAATTGAAAATTAGTAATTCTAAACACACTTGATTTTTGCTTTAGAAAATATAGGTCTTAATGTATTTCTCTATCTGGTTTAAAGAATATCAACAGTCCTGAGAGAGAAATAATGTAAATAGATGTTTTATAAATCATTTTTGTAAACAATATCATTCCAAATTTAAAGATTTTTATTCTTTATTTTGAAATATAGATATATGTTTATGTGTGTATATATATGTATGTTTTTAATATATTTATATTTTTAATAGAATTATTCGGAAGAAACTTGATTCAAGTATTACCATATTGGGTATATGAATCATGATAAACTACCTTATCGAATGTCAGTTACAGAAATGACTGCTTTCAAAATAAAAGGTTGCAGGGTCCTCTTGTAGATGCTGTTACTTCCATTATGGATAAGGATACCAAAATTAGGGGTAAAGTAAGCAAATTACTCACACCCACAGATTACTCACATAGAGTGTCAGAGCTGAAATAGGAAGCCAAGTAGTCTGATTCTAGGCAGCTACTCTTGGCCACTCTGTTTTACTATTTCTCAGAGCCTAAGGGAACCACTGGAAGAGTCATGCCACTAGCCTGGATGATATATACAAATTAGTCCTGTCCATCATCCATCATAGAGCCTGGACTCCTATTGTTTCTCCATTTGTGAAAATGAAAATGCACCAAACCTACTATTACCACTGTACCAGTGGGCTATCTTAGAGAAGAATATGAAGACTACGCATGTCTGGTCCAGGTCAAGCAAAACCAACTGGGCAGACTGAACCACGTAGTTCTAACTAACCAAATGAATAAGGCATAGACTAGAGAAAGAATACAGAAAGCAATAACAATTGTGAGTCATGTTTTAGTGTTTTTTGTTTGTTTGTTTTGTCTGTCTTTTAATGTTGGAATATTTTTTAGTATGCATCTGAGAGATTGCAAAATGTTATAAAGAAGTATTATTTTCAGGCCATTGAAACTCACTTGATCCGCAAGTCCAGTGGAGGACTAACTTACATTGCAGAGTGGAAAGGAGGCCTCCTGGAACACAAGATGGGCCACCTGACCTGCTTTGCCGGAGGCATGTTTGCGCTTGGAGCAGATGGAGCTCCCAAAGGCCTGGCCCAACACTACCTTGAACTGGGGGCTGAAATTGCCCGTACCTGTCATGAATCCTACAATCGCACATGTGAGTACATATTGTTCTTTGTTTATAGGCTATTACTATAATACATGCTTTGATTTCATCCAGTAAAGAATTTTGTCATTTGCTGCCATCAAAAGACTAACCACTATGCTTGATGAAACTTGATCACAATGAATATCTTAAAGGAATTTTTACTTCCACTTTTAACAGACACTGCTTTTCCACCTAAAAAATAATCTACCCTTAGTTTGCCAAGAAACAAAACTCAAAGCCATAAAGGATTAGCCAACCTAATTTACAAACCTCGGCTTTTAAATAACTTGAGGTTAAAAGTTACTGTCCCAATGTAAAAAGAAACTTAGTATTTTCTAAACTATTATTAATCTTCCTGGATCCCCATGAAAGAGACCATGAATTTCCACTCCTTTCTTATAAGCTAGAAGATTAGAGGACAAAGATTTAATACCTGGCCTTTTGTGTCATAAAGACTTAGATTCTCAGCCACTATGTTTCTAGCTATGTAATAAGGTCTCTGGTGGTGTCCTGCACCTACCTGGTGGGTGCTCAGTAAATGTTGTTTAAGTGAAAAAAATAAAGGATTGTTACCATTTTCTAAAATGGGCTCTCCTATGGCTAAATTTTAAAAGTATATTAAGGATTATATATTATGCAGTGTTTGGAACTACTCCCTAAAGCAATGATTTTGTCATCTCCCTTGAATGCTAAGTACATTCTAGTTTTGTTTAAGTTATAACACTACGCATTATCCAGGGCAATGACACTTGTTCAATCCTGTGTCCTTTAGTCATGAAACTAGGACCAGAAGCTTTCAGATTTGATGGCGGCGTTGAAGCCATTGCAACCAGGCAAAACGAAAAATACTACATCTTACGGCCAGAAGTTGTTGAGACGTACATGTACATGTGGCGACTGACTCACGATCCAAAGTACAGGAAATGGGCCTGGGAAGCCGTAGAGGTGATGTTTTAATTTGCATATGTTTCCTGTAGATAAATATTATAGTAAAAAATATGTAATGATACCTATAAATGTGACATACCAACTTTTCTGTAAATTTTAAAGCTGTGACCTGAGTTTTTTCCATTCTAGACTGTTTTCAGTTAAATCATCCTATATCCCTGACTTGAGCTTTGCTTTCTATGACAGTGATATAAATTTACCTACTTGGTAGACTTGGATATTGAAAGAGATATATTTTTATGCCTAGAAAAGCATATTAGAAAGTTAAGTTTCTGTGACTATAGACATGATAATTGCTTTATTCTACAAATGGTTATTGGCAACTTGGAGATACCTCTATCTGTTTCAAGAAGCCATTACAAGATTTTTTTCTTAGTCTTCAGGCTTTGAAATAATAGGATATGTTTGTACTTAGAGTAAATCAGCTGCATAGATCTAAATTTTAAGAAGAACTTAAAGAAAAATGGGTGTGTGTAAGGACATTCCTTTGTTAGTGTCAGGTTTCTCTAAATATCTAGGAGCTTTCTGTCTTTCAGATGTATTGTTTTTTGGTTTTGTTTTTTTCTTTTTTTGGAGAGGTTTTTGCTATAAGGCACATGCACTCACCATACAGACAGAGAGAGACAGAGAGACAGAAAGTGAGAAATCATCCCCAGGGGGGATGGCCACGCCGCAATCCCTTCTCCTCCATTCTCCTCTCAGGATCTTGGGCACGTGCGCACACACGCCCAGCATAAGTTTTAAGCCACCGGGTCTAGGATGCGAAATGCGGTCAACTACATGGGAGTCTAGCGACACAGCCATTATGCTAACTGCTGGTCCCCAGATGTGTTGTATTAATTGTCTGTCACATCCTGAGTTTCTTCCTGCCAAATATGGTATATCATTTTCCGAAACTATTGAACGCTTTGTGTACTGGATGCCTGAGAAGATACCCTCCAGATATACATCAAACAATGTCTGATTTTCAGATTTATTATATTCTGAAACAAGTGGGAGGAAATTCAGAGGATAAGAACAAGCAATTGCTTTAATTATACTCTCATTCTGAAGCAGAATGTTAGAAAGTTAACTGTTTTTAAAAATTGGCCACTGGGAATAACTTCTCACAGGAAATCTAAAATGAATGTTGCCTTTGTGTAAAATTTAATATCTTAAGAAACCAATGCTAAATCTTACTTATTACTCTTTCCGTTTGGTATTGTCTTATCACTAATTATCAGTCATTTTGAATAATACTTATGCTTTAGGCTTCTTTTTTTGCAAAATTTTTAATAATGGTTAATCAGTACTTTCTTTTAATATCTGTTTTTTTCTCAAAAGAAAATTTTTGAAATTGAGATTCACTAGGGAGTTATGTTGATCTCGAATTGGCCAGCATAGAAATTGAGTATCAATTTAAGTTGCAAATATCAGTTTAAATTGAAAGTATCATGAATACCATATTTATCAAATCTAAAACACTGTAATTTGTAAGAAAGATTGTTATTTTATATACTTCTAAGAAAGAACAATACCACTAATTAAATTATGCCATGTAATTTTGTAGCTGTTAAAATATGCAAAATGTATGACAGAGACTTGATCAAAAATGAAAAGCAAATCTCCATTGCTAGGTAAACAGGAAGCTTTGGTTTGCTTGATTTTGGAGGGGATAGGCAGGGGCTGGTTATTTGTAGTTTACTAATTTGGTTTTGTGTTGGATATTTATCTCCTGTCAAGTCTTTAGCAAGATATTTGAGAATAAAATTGTTTTCCTGTGCCACAATACAGGGGGCTCCCCGTTTTTGCCAGTAGTAACTTCTGCGAGAACTTGAGATATGGTGGTAAGAAGAGTTCTAGGATCTCTTGCCTTTGTTACAGCACAAAAATTATAGTTTTAGAAAGTGTGGTGGTACGTTTTTCCTGTGTCACATCCTGTTGACGGCAGCAGCCCCAGTGGGCAGTACCCCTGCATACTGATAGCTCATACCTCCAATGCCCAGTGCTTCTCAGCTTTCTGACCCAGAGCGGGCAGTGGTCTGGAAGTAAAGGGGCCCCAAGGGGAGAATGCTCAGCTAGTGAGGATTTGGAGTAGATGGATCATTTATCCATCTTCCTTTTTTAGAAGAACTGTGTGTGTGCTATACAGTTCTTCAGGGCCTCTAGGAGTGAACCCTGTTGCACTCAGATGTAACCTACTCAGCACATTCCACTGATTCTTCTCCAGTATTCGTTTCACTCTCCTTATTTGTTCACTTCTTAATATCACCTCCTCAAAACCTTTCTACACCCAGCGTTTGTCTCATGCTGTTTTTAAGGGAACTCAACCTAAAACATTGGGAATCTTAAAAATCTCTACTCAAAACAAGATTCCTCTCTCTGTCTTTGCCTGATGGTTATTTCCTATTATTTGAAAGACTTTGCAGCAAAGAGGAATATACTACTTAATAAAGTAATTCATTCCATTTTTTAATGACATAAGTTACAAAGTTACTCCTTTTGTGTTGGGTGTGTGTGTGTGTGTGTGTGTGCGTGCGTGTGTGTGTGTGTGTGTGTGTGTTGTGGTTTTGTTTTTAGTCACGGTCTACTGTGTCTGATCCTCCTGCCTCAGCCTCCCCAGCAGTGGGACTACAGGCGTGCACCACTGCCCCCAGCTTTGAAAGTTACTCCTTTTGCAGCCATTATTTAGGGTTCCGTGCTCTAGATGTTCTAGTGAAAAACAAAATTCATCTCTCTTCTCCATTTCAGCTCCTCACTTCCCTGAAGGCTGCATATTCTATCCGCTCTTACTATCTTCATCCATCACCTTCTTCCACCTTCTACTGATATGGTTTCCTGTGGTCCAATTTTTTTCTTTTAGTAGATTTATAAAATGCCTGGCTTCCATCAAAATGATGGACACATGATCTTAGTACTTCATCAGCTACTGTTGAGTCTCTTGTTTTGCAATAGCCATCTTATCCATACTTTCAGTTTGTAGAAGAATTTTTTCTTTTTTAAATTTTGCCAGAGGTCATGTGCACTCACCAGAAAGAGACAGAGAAAGTGAGAAACCACCCACCATGGCGGGGGGGAACCCTGGGGGAGTCACACCACAGTCCCTTCTCCACTTCTTCCTTTCATGATCTGGGTCACACATGTATACATGCCTGGCGTTTTACTCAAGCTCCTGGGTCTAGGGCTCAAACACATGGCCAGCCATGTGGGATCCAGCCACCCTAACCAACATGCCATGGGCTGGCCCATCAGTTTGTCAAGTACTTGTAATCCATCTTCCTACTTCTGTTCTCAGCCTTCTCTCACTAATATATGTGATAAACCTGCTTTCCATGTCTTAATTAAATTTCTTAATTATAATGTCAAGTAAGATATGAAAAGGTATATATACTAGAGACTTCCTTTGTAGGTTAATAGCAGTCCATTAATCACAGATGTTCAAGCACTTATGAATCCACCTACCAGAAAGTATACCTAACTGATTGGTTTTTTTCCCTCAATAATGTCACGAAGAACATTATTAAATTCTTCTCAGTCAAACTTCTGATGGCCTGGCTCTGGGGATGCAAGTGGTGGGCTGCCACCACATGATACTGGAGCCATATGAGAAGTCCAGGTTCAGAGGAGTGAGACTGACCTGAGCACACTGGACTCGCCAGTGCACCTGTGATCCTGGCTGGCTAGAAGGCTGCCAGGAGGATCGCGGTGTGGGAGACCCTGGCAAGGTGTGCCTCTTTCTCTCCCTTCCTCATAAAAATAAACTTTAAAAACAAATAATAAATCATGAAAACTTTTTAAAAAAATGGTATCTGGTAACTTATGAGATGTATCAAAATATTAATTATACATTTCTATCATTAATATTATGGTGCACAACAGAGGTTAAGTCTTATGTAGGAGTTTTTAGGGGAAAGTTGTTTTATTTTAGTTTGGTTTTGCATGTATATTTTTCTTTAGTCCCACATGGACATTGGGAATAACTTCTCACAGAAAATCTAAAATGAATGTTGCCTTTGTGTAAAATTGAATATCTTAAGAAACCATTGCTGGGGAACCAGCAGTTAGCGTAATGGCTATGTCGCTGGACTCCCACGTAGTCGACCACGGTTCGTGTCCCAGACCCGGTGGCTTAAAAAAAAAAAAAAAAACTCACGCCAGGTGCGTGTGCATGCGTGCCCAAGATCCCGAGAGGAGAATGGAGGAGAAGGGATTGTGGCGTGACCATCCCCCCTGGGGGGTGATTTCTCGCTTTCTGTCTCTATGTCTCTCTCTGTCTGTCTGGCGAGCGCACGTGCCCTACAGTGAAAATCTCTCCAAAAAAAAAAAAAAGAAACCATTGCTGAATCTTACTCATTACTCTAACCATTTAGTATGTGTCAGAGAATGATTAGTATGTGTCAACTCAGAGAATGATTTATCTTTCCCGTTCTTGCTCCTACCTCCCAGGCTGATCCCTGTTCCCAAACTCCCTTTGATAAGTTCATTTTGCCTGCATCTGTGTTCTGCTCTTGAGTTCTGATCAAGGCAGACAGCTTCAGTAGTATAATTCCTTGGGATTTACTTTTATAAATCTCCATGGATTTGCCATTTTTCTAGTTTATTAATAAGAGAAAGAGAAAGATAGAAAGTACCCTCAATAGGGTCTCAGCCACAGTCCTCCCCCAACTTCTCCCAGGCAGCCAAGGTCATGGGCAGATGCATGTACACCTGACAGGTACAGGTCAACCCAGGAACTGAACCTCCATCTTCCATATGGCTTCCAGCATTGCTGAGCATTGTGTTACCACTGCTCCACCTCAGCTGGGCTATATCCTCATAGTCATGCTTTCTGACTAACCATTTACCTCATGCTGCTTTCTTACCTCTTCCGCCTTCCAAAAGTACAGTCACTTAGAGTCAGGCTTAACTTTCACTCTTTGTTTCATGTTCCAGTCACTGTAAACATTTCCATGTTCTATTCTCTGCTGCTAACACATCCAGCTACAGTCAGTAATATGCATTAGTATAATATGCACTATATAGCATTAAGGTGGACTCTGTGTCTGGAGGCTGAATGTTCCAGGAAAAGATTGCAGTCAAAGGACTATCTGATCAGATTATGCTCTACAGACACATGACCGCTTCCACGGTTGAGATGCTGGCAGGGCCTGTTATAGGAGCCCAGGAAAGCTACTCATCCCCAGCTTCACATTCCCAAAGTCTGAAAATTTAGACTTCTAGCATGAAGGTATTTCATTGTTTGAAAGTTTAAAAATGCCTCTTTGTCTTTTTTTTTTAAAGAAAATGTCATTTTTTAAAAGCCAAAGGCCTCAAAAATGAAAATCACTAAGCCTCTCTAAACCTTTGAAAGGATCCCATCCCTGCACTAAACATTTCTTCATTTTGTTTCATTCACATTACATCCCCATGCTGAGAAAAAGGATGCTACCTGGGATAAGGAGTTTCTGAGGCCACGATTAGAATCTTGAACTGGGAGTTGGTCCCTCTACTCTCCAACTTTTATTGTGTTCTTTTTTTATTTTCCACATGAAAGAGAGCGAGAGAAGTACCCTCTACAGGGTTCTATCACACTGCAGTTCCCTTTCTTCATCCTTCAAACTCCTCAGGATCCTGGGCATACTTGTGTATACACAGCATGTTTTCAGGCCTACCCAACATCTGGACCATGGCTGGCTATGTGGCTTCCAGCCTTGCATAGCAGCTGGGCTTGATTTTACTCTTGACTACTATTATAGTTGGCCCCGTGATGACGGTAGGAGAACAAGAGTGAGTAGGGATGAACAGTTGGCTCGCTGGCAAAGTCATGATGTGTTTTTCTACACAGAAGTGTGTCATGACTTTCCTATTGACTCAATAGAAAGAAAGACAGTTGGCCATTGTCTATCCCAAAAGCAGTTCTTTTTTTCTACAATGAAAGAAGAAACATATGGAAATATCTGTAGGGAGGAAGGCTGACCGTTTTATCATTCCTGGTCCTCTCATTAGCATTTCACCAAAGAACTTAAAGAGCACAGTCGAGAAAATATTGTGTGGATATAATCACTTTCAGGAAATGACTGGAAATGAGGTTTCATTATGTTTTACACCAAGTTTTCCCATTTCTTCTAGGTCCTAATTTCCTTTTCCTTTTTTACAAATAATTTTTAGGCTACTCTCTGGATCTGGTATTTAACTTTATATCAAAAAGTCCTTTTATCAAAAAGGAAGGAAGTAAAAAAGATAGTAGGACGTGAAAGTTTCTTTTTTCAGGGTCATCCCCATTTGGCTCATTGTCTGGAATTTGGAATGTAATCAAAGCATCTTTTTAAGTTAACTGTTCTAATTTTCCTGGGGGGTTTTCAAAGGTACCAGTCATGAGGCATTTTCCTCATTTTCTGTATTCCTGTAGCCTGCTGGTCAGATTTTCTTTAACCTGGTAATTAAATGCTTCTGTGGCCCCATGCTCCCTCTGCCCTCCAGCCCTGATGTGAAAAATCGATATCCTCATTATCAGTGTGTGCAGATGGAAGCTGCTCTCAGTGCATCGTCCCGGCTCATGAGACACTGTGGCTAGCATTTGCCTTCCTTTTTCTCTTTTCTGGGCTCTACGTGCTTAGACCCTAATGTTCTTCCAAAACTCTTTTCTAGTTAATGAAGATTTTTGTTAACTAAAATATCAAGGCCTGTGCTTCCCATCTTCTTGGGTTAAAGGGAGAAATATGGGATATACTTGTATATGTGAAAAGAGAGGCATGCAGAAAATGATTTGTAAGAGAAAATTTAAAAATAAATGAAAAATGACATGAGCAATTAAGGTAACTTTATTTATTATAAAGATTAGGGTTTTAGTCTATAACTTTGTTATTTCTTGCTCACAGCCTATGAATTAGAACCAGATTTCAGATGGCAATTTTTATACAATGGAAGTTTATATTTGGCCATATAATTAGTAGGATCAGTAGGGTATAGTGAGCAGAAAATAACTTTGCTAGTGATGAATATGCCTGGTAACTAGCAAAGCAGCCAGTACAGTTTCAAATATAAAGAGCAGGAAAAAAATCAACTCAAAATGGATTAAAGACTTATGTTTTAAACATTAACTCCTGAAGTCATAAAATTCCTAGAAGAAAACATTGGAAAAGAAGCCCCTTGACAATGGTCTCAGCATGAGTTTTTTGGACTTGACACTGAAAGCATAGGTTTGAGACTACATCAACTAAAAGTTTCTGTACAATAGGGAAACAGTCAACTGAACAGAAAGGCAACATATAGAATAGGAGAAAATATTTACAAACAATATACCTGATAATTGATAACTACTATCCAAAATACATAAATGAACTCATACAACTCAAGTGGAAAAATAGTAATAACAACAATTATAATACCTAATTTAAAAATAGGCAGAGGGGAGCCACCAGGTGGCATGGTGGTTAGGGTATTGGAGTTCCACATGGCCAACTATGGTTTGAGTCCTGGACATTGTGGCTTGCATTTTCACTTTCCCTCTCTTTCTTTCTGTCTCTGTCTCTCTCTGGTGGGTGTACATGCCCTATAGCAAATTTAATGATAATAAAATCAAATAAATAATTTTTTTAAAAATGTGCAAAGGACCTGAATAGCTAGTTCTCTAAAGAAAATATACAAGTGGCCAGAAGTTATATATAAAAAAGTGCTCAACATCACTAATCATCAGGGAAAGTATAAGTCAAAATTGCAATGAGTTATCACATGACACTTGTTAAAAGTGATATTATAAAAAAAAAAAAGATAAGCAGTGTTGGCAAGGATGTGGAGAAAAGAGAACCCTTGTACACAGTTGATGGCAGTGCAAATTGGTACAGCTATTATGGAAAATAATATGACACTTTCATTAAAACAATTTAAAATCAGCCTTCCAATGTAAGTGTATTCACACAAATGATAGAATGTGGTAAGTGAAATAAGCCAGCAGAGGGACACATAATGTATGATCTCACTTACATGTGAAATTTAAAATAAAAAAGAACTCATAGAAGCAGGGTAGAATGGTGGTTACCAGAGATCAGGGACTAGGCAAGAAGGGGAAATATTGGTCAAAGGGTACAAATTTCAGTAACGAGATGAGTAAGTTCTGGAGACCTAATATTATAGTGTGACTGTAGTTACTAATAATATGAGTAGATCTCAAGTGTTCTCACCACGAAGGACAGAGCAACTATTTGAGATGTGAGGTGATGACTGTCTGTCTACTGCATCACAGTAATCGTTCTGAACTCTGCCATTGGACAAAAGCAGCTACAGACAATATGTAAACAAATAAGCATGACTGTGATTTATTAAAACTTTATTTACAAAAATAAGAAATAGATTGGATTTAACCTATGGTCCACAGTTGCCAAATGTTGCTCTAGACCATAGAAGGAAATGATAGAAATTGGTGAAAAATTATTATAAAACTAAGTGTAGAAGTGTTTCCAGTGAAATAAGATATATTGTCCAGAGCCCAAAAGTGGCTGAATTCCACATGGCTGACTTTATGGTCCATGTCCCAGTCCCAGCGGCTTGAAAATCACTCCAGGCACATGTGTGCATGTGTGCCCAAAGTCCCAAGAGGAGAATGGACTGCAGCATGGCCATCCCCCCTGGGGGTGATTTCTCACTTTCCTTTTTTCCTCTCTCTCTCTCTCTCTCTATATATATATATATATAGATAGATAGATAGATAGATAGATATAAAGATATAAAGATATATATATATATCTTTAGTACATGTATGCACCTTAGAGTAAACTTAAAAAAATAGAAGTCATGTCTGTATGTCCTATAACTTTTCATATTTTATTTGCCTTTATATTTTATGCGTTTTTCAATTTTTTACCTAAAACCTGAAGGTTTTCATTCTTCTTGAAGCTTTATTTTATCTGAATTTGACAAACTAATAATAAAAATTAATGTCAACCAGTTTACTGAAATGTGACCATCTGTTTTTCTCCTCTTTGTAAACTAGGCCCTGGAAAATCACTGCAAAGTGAACGGGGGCTATTCAGGCCTAAGGGATGTTTACCTCCTTCGTGAGAGTTACGATGATGTGCAGCAGAGTTTCTTCCTGGCAGAGACACTGAAGTAAGTGACAGTTGTTCTAAAAGCTTATGGCTCAGGTACCAGGGCAGGTCTTTTCTGTAGATACCTTTATCATGACCACCTTGAAATATTAATAATACGAAGTATGACTGATTCAGGATGCCATTCCATTTGCGTGGCAATGATTGCTGATAGATTTTTAATCGTTACTGCGTTTGATGCTTGGGACGATTTGCATGGTTCTTATACACAAATACCAAAGCACAAGAGTAGCTTCTTGGGAACCAGCAGTTAGCGTAATGGCTATGTCGCTGGACTCCCACGTAGTCGACCGCGGTTCGTGTCCCGGACCCGGTGGCTTAAAACTCACGCCGGGCGCGTGTGCGTGCGTGCCCAAGATCCCAAGAGGAGAGTGGAGGAGAAGGGATTGCGGCGTGACCATCCCCCCTGGGGGGTGATTTCTCGCTTTCTGTCTCTATGTCTCTCTCTGTCTGTCTGGCGAGCACACGCGCCCTACAGTGAAAATCTCTCCAAAAAAATAAAAAAATAAAAATAAAATTAAAAAAAATTTTAAAAAAAAGAGTAGCTTCTTTACTCCACATTAATGAGGATATCCCCCTGAGGGTTTTGATGGATTTCATGGTCGCCCATGGTTCTCCAGAAGATAAAGACATTGATGTGGGTTTTGCAGTGTTTTTGTAGTTTTGCTGCCTGGCGTGGTCTCTCGGGCCTCATGTACTCATGTTTCTCTCACCAGATATTTGTACTTAATATTTTCTGATGATGATCTTCTTCCACTGGAACATTGGATCTTCAACACGGAGGCACATCTTCTCCCTATAATCCGTACGGATAAAAAGGAAGCTGAACTCAAAGAGAAATAAAAAGACACTTTTATATTTTACCCTGCTCCATTCCCTTCACACATACTTTAATAATTCCTTTTCTGGTAATCAGGCACATGATGAACTTTTGTTAATAGGTCTGTGATTATTCTAAGTTCCAAAATTGTTTTGCAGTCTTTTTGTTTATTGTCATAGGCATAGATGGACCAAAACTCTTTTCGTATCCTCTATTATTCAGTAAGGTTGGATTCATATGAACCTGGAGTCACAGGATTTGTTTGTTTATTTTAAGTAATCTATTATTTCTGGAGTCCATGAAGGTATAATATCGTTTTATTAAACTGAATAGAATGGTATACCAATGACCTCTGAATTACAATTTGATTTGACTGCAAAACTTTTTCCTCCTCTATGAGGAGATGATGTCTGCTTTAAGCTGTAATGTTTTGCCATGTTGCAAAAAGCCATAATAATAAATTAAGTATAAAAAAAGCTTTTTCATTTTCAATTTCATGTTGATCTGGTTTGTCTATCCACCAGGGACAGATCTTATAACTGTGACAGCCTCCTTATGCGGGTCTATCATTATTTGATAGGATGTCTTCTAAAATGCTTCACTCTCATTGTAATTCAAATTAGAAAGTCATCCTAAAAGGATCATCTCATGTGGACCTCATTTCCTTAGAACCACAGTATATTTCTGTTGATTAATTGTATGCGTGTTTCCTAATTTGTGAATTTGTTCTCTAATTTTACTTTAAACACCATGCCATTTCTAGATCATAGACTGGCTAATTGCTTCCATTCTCTACTACACAGTGTGAGGCGAGCCCTCAAGTTTTGCGGAGTTCTGCTGTCACTGAATTACATTTCTTAAAGGGAAAATAGTGAAACTTTCAGTTTGTTAGCTTTTTACTTTGAAATGAATATATGAAGAAATTGGGTCTTTCTAAAGAGAGGGTGACTATTTCATATGGTTTTATGGATTTGCTTTTATTTTATCTTTATTTCTGTTTTCTTAAGAAAAGAAAGCTTTCCATTTGGCTCAGATTTTGCAGATTTGGAAAGTGCCCTTTGCAGTTCATGGAAACAAGATCTGACTCTGTGAAAGCAGATTTACCGATTTGTCTACTCATGGCCAATTAAGGAAAATCTAATCAATTTAGGCCAAATAAGGATGGGTTCTATTTTGTATGGTTAAATTCAACATAGAGATCCCAACTTAAAAGTAACACATGGGAAAGGAGTTTCCCAGTTCCCCACAACCTTGCAGTAGGTCCAGACGATTACATGGTTCTTCTAAACATTAAGATTTGAATTATGAAGGTTTTTCCAAAAATACATCAGGTGACACCTTGTATTTTCGTATCATATTGGTTCGTGATATATATTTTCATGAAAGGGCTAATATGATGATACCTATGCTGAAGTACAAGACTTTGCGTTCCTAGATTTTCGAACAGGAATGGTCAGACAGATCAGTGCAACCCCATGGATTAGGCTGTAGATATGCAATTGCTGCATGTGGTGTTTAAAAACGATCCAATGTCAGCAATTTCATATGGTTTCAACCTAATATTTTTTAAGCCTCAATAGACTTAATAGTTTCAGTATTTCAGCTTTTGAAAGTCTTTTGAAAAATTTCCTTTGTCTGACAGAATAAAGATCTGCTATTTTTTAACCTTTTAGTATTGTACATTGGTATATGTCAAAGAATAAATTAATAAAATTAATAAATGAAAAAGATCCTTTAATATATTATTATTGCCATGTTAACGTGTATCTGTGATCCAGAATAACTTCCGTTCAGATCTCTAGTCACCCTAATGAAATGAATGGATATTGAGAGTCATTTTTTTCCCTGAACCTTAAGATAAAATATGAAAAATTGTTGCCAAAATAGGGTCATATATATCTAGGTTCCAATTTTATAATGAATATCTTAGGTAGCAATTAAAATGTATTCACATTCTTTGTTTTTCTATTTATTTAAAAGGGCACAAAGTTGGTAAGTATTTCTGCATCACATAGGCTATTAAAATCAGGTGTTATGTCCACACTGCACTATAAAGGCCCTTCGGTACCTGGTGGAAGTAGATAGGGAGCTGGACTATGTGTTGATCTGCCAATGGCAAGAATAAAATGTTCGCAGTTCTAGAACTCGGATTTTTTTAAAATTAAAGTTCTAAACCACCAAAAATGTAAACAAGATAAGAGATTGATATTATGAAGATATAAGTTTATTAAAGTTATATTTTATGTTAATTATTTTTAGACAACTGAAGTCTTTAGGTAGAAATCATCTTTCATTTTCAACAAACTGTGTGGTTAAATTTGCATATGTATTCATACCCTGAAAGATGAGCAATTACAATAGTACTCAATTTTGTGTTTATGCAGTATGTTTTTGATATACTTTGTGCAGTTACTATTACACACATAAGTTGTATCACAATTTACGGACTCAATGGCTTTTGTTTGTCATGACTTTTTCATGTGTACTGCCCATTTTTTACATTGATTGTTTTTTATCTGTACATAAATTCATTCTGTCATTTCCAACTTTATATAAATCTCTAATATTATGAGACATAATAGAGTGACACATAATTTTTAAAAATTATATTTGTAAAATTTCTCTATTGTGAATAAAGTCTTTTAATATATCTTCTCATTTGTTATATTTTTCTCCTTTTAGGTAAGTTTGTGAATCTAGGAGTAAATGCAGATAGTTGCACATAGAAACAGTAAATTTTAATAGCAATTCCATAATATACCTAAAGAATCTTGACCAGGAAACATTTCCTGTTGAGACTTTGCATTGCAGGCCAGACTGTGGCCTCTTGGTTAAGATGTGGATCCCATGAAACTGTCTACACAGTTAAAGTCCCAGAACCTGCAGTTTGAGAAACACACTAGGCATGTATGCATGTGTGCCCTAAATTCCAGAGGGGATTGCAGCCTGACCATGCTCCATAGGGTGTGTTTTCTCATTTCTCTTTCTTCAGCAAGTGCATGCTTCCTCTGGCAAACTGAAAAAAAAAGGAAGGCAAAAGAAGAAAAAATTAAGAGGTGCAGGATAAGAGGATCATAGGTGTCAAAAACAGCATGAAGGGATCAGCTATCAGCGTAATGGCTATGTTGCTGGACTCTCATGTAGTTGACTGTGGTTCAAGTCCCTGACCCGGTGGTTTAAATTCATGCCAGGCGCATGTGCGTGCGTGCCCAAGATCCCAAGAGGAGAAAGGAGGAGAAGGGATTGCAGTGTGGCCATCCTCCATAGGATGGTGATTTCTCACTTTCTGTCTCTCTCTTTCTGTCTCTCTGTCTCTCTCTGTCTCTCTGGTAAGTGCACGTACCCTATAGCAAAAACCTCTCCAAAAATAAAAAAATAGCATGAAGTATAATACTGGTTCTTATATGATCCTTATTCTTCAATTTGCATTCCAATTAGGGCTATTAGACTCATCCCCGCCCCTTAAAACAAAACAAAACAGCATTTACTTGTGCCAAATTCAAAAATAAATTCTGCTGTGGAAATTCAGGGACACAAGAGGGCCATAGGATTTGAGTGCTCCAAGAGGCTTAATAGAGAAAAAAAGTTACATTACAAGAGAACCTCTAAAGTATTTGAAAGAGCCTAGCTTTTTCAAATTCATAGTGTACTTTTTCAAATGTTTCAGATGCTTTAGTTGCTATTCCCTCAGCCTGGAATTCTCCCCAGTGTTTTTATAACTCATTCTTCACCTAATTAGTGAGGCTTCCTTGACAAATCAGTGTAAAATTTACCATCATCTTACCCAACCTTATTTTCTACTTAACGTTTATTATTTACATATTTATTTCTTTTTTTTTTTAATTTTTTTTTTTGAGAGATTTTCACTGTAGGGCGCGTGCGCTCGCCAGACAGAGAGAGACATAGAGACAGAAAGCGAGAAATCACCCCCCAGGGGGGATGGTCACGCCGCAATCCCTTCTCCTCCATTCTCCCCTCGGGATCTTGGGCACACACGCACACGCGCCCGGCCTGAGTTTTAAGCCACCGGGTCCAGGACACGAACCGCGGTCAACTACGTGGGAGTCCAGCGACATAGCCATTACACTAATTGCTGGTTCCCTACATATTTATTTCTTTATGTTGTCTACCTTATCCCTTAGTATTTAGGCCCAATGAGAGCAGAAACGTACTTTGTTTGACCACCTGCCCCACCCCCGCCCCTTTTTCTATATCTGTAGTGCCTGGAGCAGTATGTAGCCCTTGGAGTAATGTGCCATGAATGTTTGATGAACAGGTGCATAAATGGATGAGATTCTACCTTATGTTCATAGGTTATGTGATAACTATTTGCAAATATCTTTTAGTAAGGAATAATGTTTAATGGTATTGAAGTTTGTGTTTGTGATTGGAATCAGCTCTCAACCAATACATTTTTTTAAACCACTCCTTTCATTAGGTACCATTTATGGGGCCGGCAGGTGTTGTGGTGGTGAAGGTGGCCGAAACCCACATGGCCAGCTGCATGGTTTGAGTCCTAGACCAGGGGACAGCTTAAAAACATACTGAGTGTGTGTGAATGCATGCCTAAAATGCCAAGAGAGGAATGGAGGAAAAGGGACTGTGGCGTGGCCATCCCATTATATATTTTCAGTGTTGCTATTTGAATAGTCTACTATTGTTTGATAATGGCTTAATCTTGTAGTCTCTCCCTCATATAAAAACAACAACAATAAGAGCAAACAAAAAACTATTCCAACAGCATCAAGCAAAGGAATTGATTTTCTCTCTACCATATAGTCAAACAGGGACCTTCTGAATTCAGTCATTTGTAACAGGAGTGACATCAGTTGTGTTTACCCTGCTGATAACAGAATTACTAAAATGTATTCTAAGCATGGTTTTTATTTATACCAAAGACCAGTCATCTGCATAGAGATGACCATTTGGCAACCTGCACATCAGATTTTTGATACTGATATGTAGACAATTGCTTAAAATTTTTATAAAGTTATAAGGTAGCTTTTTCATTTAGGCGTAGAGTGTGTGTGTGTGTGTGTGTGTGTGTGTGTGTGTGTGTATGTTTATCTTGGCTCCCTAGCTTGTGGCTGAAATGTGAGAACAGTAAAGAGAATCTTATTTAAACTTAACTGACAATGGTCCAAAAGCTGATTTCTGTTTTTCTCAGGGTCATCCCAGGCATGCTAACCAATTCATGAGTCATAATTTTCAGGAAATATTTGCCAGGCATCAGATATGCATTTAAAGTCTTAATACTACGTAGGAGTCTAGACAACATTTAGTCCAACTCATTTTAAGTATGAGGAAATGGGGGATGGGGTCCCAAGGTCAGGAATTGTTATCTATTATTCTGTGCTGAAAGGCAGGGATATGGTAAAATTTTATGTTAATAAAAAAAACATGCATTGTACAAGACTATGCCCTTGTATTCAACCAACCACTCCAAAACAGAGGTATAAATTCCAGGTTTAACCTTGAAAAACAGTCTAATCTGAGTTTCTGTCTTTCAAGGTTTGGGCTATAGTTTACCTACAGCAGAATCTTTTGTAAAGCTTAATAAAATGCAGATTCTAGAGCCTTCTTCCAAATTTAATAAATTAAAACTGTGGTGGGGCCCTGTAATTGCCAATTTCAACTAGTAATTTGTGTTATTCTTCCACCTTCTAACACTGAGACTCACAATTTTAAGTTACAGGTAGATGGGAGTCCCAAGACTGGCAGAAGAATTTAATGAATTAGCCAGTCATGACTAACATGTATCTTTTTCTGTATTTTTGTTTCTATATCAGTGTCTAAGTACAACTTGACATAATTTTGATCACTTTGGAAACATTAGAATCATCCTCCTATAAGAGAATTTCTGACCAATAAGTCATACACCTAATCCTTTTGCAAATAGATTCATACTGAGTTTTTATACATAATTCTTTCTTATTAGGGAACTCTCACAAGTACAAACTTTGAGGACAGCAGGTAGCACAGAGGTTAAGGCAGCTGGATCCCACATGGCCAACTGCACAGTTCAAGCTCCAGATCCTGCACCTTGAAAAACACCAGGCACATGTGCATATGTGCCCAAAATCCCCAGGGGAAAATGGAGGAGAAGGGATTGGAGCATAGTCATTCCCACTGGGAACTGATGTCTCAATTTTTCTCTCTCTGTCTCTTTCTCTCTGTCTCTCTTGTGATCACATGCACTCGATAGCAAACTGAAAATAAATAAATAAAATATATCTGAAAGAATAAATTAAAATAACTAAAATAAGTACTAACTTTACTCTTCCTTTTTTTTTTACAGGAACTGTTTCATTTGCTTCCCCCCAGTAACTGCTTTTAAAGGCAGTTCCTAAATGGTTCTCTCTGTTCTTGTTGATTTTAACTTGACTGTCAAGTCACTTGCACAGACTACACTGAATTCCTATAATAGTTTGGCTATGTGTCTTGTAAATGTCTAAAGTGTTCTTGGAAATGACCTTTGAAAAGCACCTTCATTTTCCTCTTGTCCTGTGTTTTTACATTTATTGCAATGCTAATCATCGAAGATTTGTTGGCTTGCCATTATTATGATTACTTTGAATCTCTTTAAAACATGCCATTACTTACTGAATAAATTAACTTAAGTTTGTGTCACAGATCCATTTAATTCTCCAGTGAATGCAAATTACCATGAAATGTTAGAAAGCAGTGATAGATATATAGCTTTTTAAAAAACATTTCCACATATCAGATACTTCGGCCTTAGGCTATGCGCACATATTAATTCATAATTCTGCAAACAGGACCAGAAAATGTACCGCTTTTCCAACACTACTGACACCTGAGAGGTTTTTGTTTGTTTTGCTTTGTTTTTCCAACTGTTGCAGCAGAAACAAGTGAATTATCTCATTCACAGAATCTTTAGGAACTTTGTTACTGACATTTCAACTCTGGGAATTCTCTGTGGAAAATAGCAACACCTCACATATAATCTGGTGTTGGAACCAGGACGGGAGATTTTGACATGAGCTTCTTCAAAAGACACAAAGCTCTCGGTTCCCTTTCATTAAGGTGACAGCTCTACCTTGTTGTGAACTAAGGCTCTCTATTTAGTGACAGAAGGAGAGCAAATTGTATCTTTCTTCTTTGTAGGAACCCTCTACCACTCTGCCATTCAATATTGCACAGCACCTTAATCTCACTGGTTAAATAAAACCCAAGTGCATTTCAACTACTATTCACATTCCTCTTCTATCTTGCTTTTGTCAAATTGGTAACTTTGTGATTTACATAATCTTAGCCAGGAGTTGCAAAAATATATACATTGTCAATGCCCCCATTAAAATATTATGTCCCT